AAGGGCGCCCAACTTGCTGAGAGGGGGTCCTGGAACGCTGGAATTGCGGGACGTGTTAAATATTAAGGAATTTTCTGGAAAATTGAGGTCGAAAAAGGTATTAAAAACTAAATTTAAGTCCCCACAATGTAAAACTAGTGTTTGGAAATAGGAAATTTTTTTGGATTTTTTTGTTTTCGGAAACATTAACGTCGACTTCTCTCTCCCCCCCCCCCGCCCCGGGGGCCCTCAAATGTAAGGGGGGCAAAAATTTTTACTTCAATCAAACCAGATACCGCTCGGGACGGCCCTGATTTTACTGTTAGTTAATTCCTTTTGGTAAAATCAAAGTTAAGCGACTCTTGTCTAGCCGACTGTCCCCATTTTCCAGTTCGTGGATCGAATCTTCCAGAAAGGTTTAATCCATCCTCTTGGTGCAGGCCTGATCTTGGACAACGTTAGCGTCAGATGTACTTGTATCTCCACTCATTTTTGGTTTAACTATTGATATAAAGCAATGATTATGCTTCCAAGTCAACGCACTTCTTTATTTCGCTTCAGTTTCTCTGTCGATTTTCGAACTTCCTGTCCGTGCTTCCACGTACTCCACAGCTCAAACACTGTCCATACATTTCTAGGCATCTAAGAGTCGTTTCCACGATACGTACGGGACGCGTAACATGTAGTCTCCTTTCCAGACCATTGCCTTTTTAACTTTATAACTCGCTGGGATGGGGGGAGGGGGCAATTGCCCCACATGGAATGGGATTTGCCCCCGCCTCCAGTCACACTGATTCTGTCCCCGTAAAAATAGCCTCAACCATTGCTCTCAACTGCGCAGAGTACAGAGAACAGCCTGTGACACAAAATTTTCAAAATTGGTTAGAGCGCTGCACCGGAATCGCAAGTTAGATTCCTACCAGAGGGTCTATCTAATAAATGTATAAAATTCACGCTCGAAAATTTTCATTTACAAATTCCGTCAACCATTAATTCTATCGAGTGTCGATGCTCAAAAGCTTGATATTTAACCGTTTTGAAAACCGGACTCTGGCTTGTCGTCTTTCATGTAGACAGGATGTGACACCATTAGCCCTGGTGAAATGGTGGTATCTTGTGATGGTATCATGCATAACCTTCAAACAATGCCGCCGCCAAGGGCCGGGGGGGGGGGGCCCGAGGCATAAATGCAGGAAATGCGGTCCAGAGACGTCCTAATACTCAAACATTTTCCGAGGAACATGCGCCCGGACCCCTATAACTGTGTTGTCACAAAAACACAAAGCTGAGAGAAAACGTCAAGTACAAAATCACTACCATGCAGTCAATAACCAGTTTATTTACAGATAATATATATTAAACGAATAGAACTAGCGCATAATAAAACAGGGCTCAACACTAAATTAATATCTTGGGTACTAAAGTAAATTTAAAAGTGCATAATTGGTTAATAGCCCACGCAATACCATATTGATAGTAAAGCAACTAACTATAATATTAAATTCTACACGAGGGTACCTAAATATCGAGTCAGGACTCGAGCCAGGACTCGAGCCAGGACTCGAGCTAGGACTCGAGCCAGGGCTCGATTCAGGATTCATTGTACACGTCAACTTACATTAATTTGTAGGTAGTATTCCGCAACAAGCTGCTGTGGTTTATGTCTGAACTACCTGAAAAAGATATTTCGGCAGCTGATTATAAATTCTATTTCATATTTTCATTCTCTAAGTTTCATCACGACCAGAAATGTACTCAGATCCTTTCCTGTCATCAAATATCCTTCGTACGCCTCCAGCCAGAGGCGTCCCTTCATCACGACATCGTAAAGCGTAGAACTGGACGTCCAACTACTTGGGCGACAATGACAAATCTTCAGAAAGCCATCACGGTTGCCTAATGTATGTTTATCACCATCAACCCCCCAAGATGGCATAGGACTTGGAGATGAACATACAACCTGCAAAAAAATTGGTTGTGAGAAGATATATAGATTAAACTGAACCTGCATATGACTAATACTGAATTGTTCAATCGATTTCAAATTGCAATCCGTATAAGTAGTCACGCTTTCCACGGATAACCGTTACTTTGAAAACTCAATAATTGATAAAACCATAAAAAATATTATCTGTACATGTTTGTCGTTGAGTTCTGAATCTACTGAATAAAGGTATCCGGCGTATGATATGGATTATAGTAGCTGCTTGTTACCGCTGGCCTAACCGCCATGATAATATGCTTTCCAGCATAAGTTGAGTGCAAAAGTTAAGTTTTTTAGGCAATGTATTTTAGGCTGGAAATTCCAGTGGATGTAACAGTGACAATGTATTTTAGGCTGGAAATTCCCCAAACGATTGGGGGGTTTGGTAGTTTGACCGTCCGGAGGCATGACGTCAAAACAACTATCATGCCTCGTGGTGACGATCTCCAAAAGCATCATGGGTCATACACCACAATATGCCCCCCCCCCCCCAGAAAATACATACATGCATGGCACCCCAGAAAATGTTTCTATTTTAACGGTCTGCGAAACGTTAT